TATAATATATGTTAAAAACTACTCCTAGTGAATTGAAGATCATAGTTTGATAAGAAGAATTGAGTTTCTTTTTCATGTTCTATACTTGTTCAAACATTGAATGGAAATCAATTATTGAATGGAGATTCAACTTTAATATTCTGATGGAGAATGAACGTCTCTATCAAAATTTTTTTATTGTCTTCAATTCATCCGATCCCCTAAAATAAATTGTATGAGAAAATCAATTATTTGCATTTTCCATTCATACATCAACTCCAATAAAACTCATTGGGAAGTGTGGTCACATCACCCTTCTAGATTATTCTTTAATTTAAGAAAAATACAATGTTAAATTACTAATATAATATAATATTGACTAATTTATTGATAATTTACAATCTTATAATCAAATACTAGTTTTGTACGCGCATTGCGCGATTGGGATAATGCCCAATATTTTTTTTTTAAATAAGTACTTTAAAGTATATTAAGGCAAGATTATATTGAAATTGTTCATGCATAGATAATTGAAGGTTGAATTTGCATATTTAAATAGGTAATTCTTCTCCCAAAGGTTGAGTCCCCTACCCCAAGGGCCCCCCACACTCTGACCCGACAGAGCATTGTAGGAAGTTGTAAATCACGGTGACTCAATGGTTCAGCAAACAGGACCAAATGCCGGTGCGAACAAGGAATCTGCCCACTTTGGACATAATTCCCGCATTGCCGCCGCCGAGGTTCAAACCTTGGTCTCTTCTCCCAAATACTGCCCACTAAACCATTGAGCTAAGCCCGTGCGGGTTAAATAGGTAATTCTAAGTTTACAAATGCAAGATAATATAGTCAAGATTGATTATAATTGTCAATAAAATAATTGTATAGGTATTGTTGAAACCAAATACGGGACATAAGGGAGAACAAATAAAAATTAGGGCATAAAATATTAAATATATACTAATATTGTTTGAGGAGATTTCGACATTAGGATTTGTGGTTAAGTTCTATTAAGACTTTAATATTAGAATTAGATTAATGGTGTAATTATAATTCTATATTAGACGTCAATATTAGAATTAGACTAACGGTGAATTAACGGTATTTAACGAAAAAGTTAAATGGATAATCATATAATTAAGGATAAATTAGACAAATTTAAAAAAAAAATTAAAACCTGAACAATTTGAACCATTCATTTGATTTTTTTTCTACCCAATGTTAATAATTAAATAAATTCGTTGGTCAAATCCGCTAATATAACCCGCTAACTGCTGATTGTCAAACAAGGACATTGCAGGATAGTTCTCACTTCAATTTGTTGTGTGATTTGAATACTCTCTTTGTCACAAAATCTCTCAAGTAGTTAATATGGTTGGCTTTATTAATTATATATTTTTTTAATTTTTCATGGTATTAATAAAATAATTGGTAAATAAATATATAGCATTATTTTGTATTATAACTTTGATATTTAATTAGAAAAATAGTGCACAAAAAAAGATAATAGACAATGTAGTGAATATAATCAATTGATGAATTTGAATGTAAAAATTTTTACATTTGAGAAAAATAAAGACAATATAACTAATGAAAATATTTCTCTTAATTAATTTATTGATAATGAATAATTTTTTTTCACTGAATTAAGACATTGTAAGGACAATGTAGCGAATATAATCAATTAATAAATTTGAATATAAAGAATTTTTATATTGTAGAAAAATAAGGACAATATAACTAATACAATTATTTCTCTTATTTAATTTATTGATAATGAATAATTTTTTTTTGAATAAAGGCATTGTGGACACATAATTCTAAATTAAAGAAATGCATATCTATAATTTTTTGTTGTAGCTACTAAATTATTATTTATATAATTTAATAAGAGTAAAATAGAGTACTAATTATGCCAACTTTGATTGGGATGAGGTTCGAACCTAAGACCTTTTTTTTTATTGAAATTAATGAGTAAGTTAACGGTGAACTAACGGCAATTCTTAAAATTTTAACGGAATTAGTAACGGTGTGTGGGTATTTTAGGAAATTTTAGTGTAAAATTTAAATCTTATCAATCTTTTAATCAATCTGAGCCATTCATTTGATTAAAATCTGTGACCGTCATTTTTTCTACCCATTATAGGCCTAACTCTCTTGGACTCTTATTAGTATATATATATATATATATATATAGTAGATATAGTAGAAATATACATTTTTAAATATTAGAATTCTTTATAATTTCATCTTTAATTTTATTATCTAAATATATAATAATAAATTTTATACGTGCATCCACGTGCATCGCACGTGCGTTGCACGGATAATTGGACAATTATTTACTCGAATTTAAGTAATGATAAGATCATAAAACATAATTGATTAAACTCATTTCATTAATTATACTATATAATACTCCTATTATAATTTATATAATTATATATCAATCTGAATATTTTTAAAATATTATAAAAAATATATTCTGTACAATGCACGAGTGATAATGCTGGTAATTCAATAAAAGAAATAATTTAATATTACTAAAAATCTAGAAGAATTTAAGTAGTTTTCTAACATTAATAAAACCATACTCTGGTATCATAGTATTCCCAAATACAATAAACAACAAATTAAAATAAACATTTTGAATACAAATAATGAAAATAATTTACTCCCTGGTTTAAAATTTTGTGTTCCTACCAGCTAGCTTTAATCAATTTGCTATTGAATACCACCTATAAGCTATAAATATCATATCAAATAAATAGAATGAATTTGACGTATGAATTTCTCCTATTAATTAACAATGGAGTTGACGTTTGAATTGAAAATGCATGCCTACATACAATTGTACGTATGTTTTGTAACAAAGCATAATAAGGAAGCTCAATAAAGATTAATCAGTCTTTTCTCATTTATGTATGTGGAGAGGTGGAAAACAGAAGGATACGTTTTTTGGGAAAGACAGATAAACAACTCTCCAATTTGTAGAACATGGTTCTCGAATTGATTATTACTTCCCATGTGACATTCAATGGAGTAGAAAATACTAGGCAACAAGAGCACCACCCCGTTGTCTGTTGATATCCAGTAGGTTTTGCCCAACCATTGTTGCCGCCAACCTCGAACTGGAAGGAAGAAACCATGGAAGTCAAGAGAAGGGTGGTGAAGAAAGTAAGTTAAGGAAATGACCATTTTACCCCTACACTAACGCCTAACTAACGGAAGGACCAATGCTGGAACAAATCTGATAGTCAAGTATCTTTTTCGTCCAAATTAAAAGACAATGACCAATTTTGGAAAATCACAATAGTCGGAGGACCATTGCTGGAATTAACTCTAATATAAATCATCTAGTAACCGTCCGTTCACATTTATTTATTCATCTATGGAGGTGTTTGGCAAGTAGCTCGATAGCTAATTGGGTTAGCTGGTTTGACTAGCAAGTTGTAAAAAGGTCTGAGTCAAAGCTTGTTAAAGTGACAACTGAGAGTGAAGGTCGAACACGGCACGATCAGAATTTTTCTCATCATCATAGTTGAGTTAAGGATACATGTTGAGGACACAAGCCGACCTCGTGGCTAATAGTACCGGTCTCCACAGACGGTGTCAAACGATAGTGTAATTAAATATTCTCGAGTATATATTTTAGAATATGAGTTAATGTAATTGTTCGTATAATTTCAGTGTATTAGCTTGAGCAAATTAAACCGGAGGTCAAAGGTTCCCAACAGAGACGGACCCAGTGTGGGGGCAGCTGCCCCCACTCTTCCCACCCCACCCTTTTATATATATGTATGTATATGTATACATATATAGCATGAAATATTATATAAAATTTATATTTATGTTGAAAGTATCAATAGTTTAAGTAGCTTAGTTGGTTGAACTTCAAATTTTTTGTTACAAAATGCTTATGTCATTAGCAACACTTTTAATTATCTTCCCTCTTTCATTTCTTCACAAGATAAATTAAATATTTTTAGTCTACTTTTTATGAATCATTTAATTAACAAATTAAATGCTCTTTTAGTCTAGTTTTTATAAATCACTTAATTAATGTAGTATACAAGTTAAATATATACTTTATTGTATTCGAATTAATTTATAAAAGTATTTATGAATATATTGATATTCAAATTATTTTATCTAATTGATTATGTTTCATATTTTCTCATAAATATATTGTAATTTATAATGTATTTTGTATTTTAACCTTATTGTGGTTGTTTGATATTTTGTCATTGACATTTCTAACGCCATTTAATATTTGCCCCCACTAAGATGATTTTTTGGATCCGCCACTGGTTCTCAAGCATGTGAGTCTTAGATTGAGAAAGGGGGGAAAAGTCCCATTTACAAGCATCATTTACAAGCATCAAACGTTGTATTTATAGACGGCGAAAAGAGACACATGCATCCAAAGGATTGGAATGTGCGACATGTGTCCTCCATGCACTCGGTGGTCACGGAGACTAGGAAGAAGTGCCCACGTGTAGAGAAATGTTTGATGGGAAAATGGCTATCAGGCATGGCGCAAGCGCTACTGTTGATGTTCATCTTTAGGTGCTAAGCACATGAGCTCGAGGCCCCTAGCCGAGCATTCAAATCGAGCCCGAGTACCAAAATAAAGCTAAGAGCATAAGCTCATTAAGCTAATTGGATGCTAATCTTTAGGTCAGATCGATTAAACACTCTCGTTAAGTCGGATCAGATCAGGAAAAGACCTCCGCTATGCGAAGAGTCGAATCCGATCAAGTGCTTAGAACAAAAGGATCGATAATCCGGGGTATATTCCCTATCGGAGATTATAGTGATATATATGTAAATAGATCCACGTGCTCTTAGTAAATATGTTTTCTGATTTTATTACCCAATTCTCTAGTTTTCTATTTTTTAGGAAGAGAATGACCGTATTTCTCAAAAAAAAAAAAAAAAAAGAATGACGAGTTTATAATACGCTTATACGCGCAAAAAGATCCACGTGCCTAATGATTCGTGACTTCATCACTTCCCAATCAATCTTCGACCGACGACCCGCATAATAAATCAAACTACCTCCCGGTCGGTCTTCATTGTGTTGTGGACTCTGTTATCTGTTCGTACTCTCCATTTCAGAGCCTGATAATTCTCCGTCACATTCCATCAATTAGCCCATCGATCGGTAGATCGATTCGAAACAAAGCAAGCAATTCTTCAGTTCTAGGTTATATTTTCTATTCTTCCGATGAACAAAATTCCACGGAGTATTAATTGAATCATAATTGTTAACCTTACTTTTTGAATCAGAATAGTCACAATTGGTTAACCTAATCTCGGCTCGGCTCTCAATCCGTTCAACAACCTCTTGAATTTCCTGCACCGTTTTACTCATCAGTTATAATTCTGATTTTTATCGTTATTATTGCAGATTGCAGGTTTTATTTTATTTTGTTGTTGAGAATTTGTTGTTAAGGCTAATAATGGCTGCAGCTCCTGATCAAGCCACGAGCATCTGTAGTCACTGGTTAGTTCTTTGCCTTTTAAGTTATTGGTCTTTATACTGAAATTTGACTGGTTTTTGTTTTTGTTGTTGTGCGTATGTTTTTTCGGTGAGCCTGATGAAGATCAAGTTAGTTTTATAGGAGTTATAGTTTTCGTGATTTTCTTCTCTAATTTGTTTATCTATGCATATCCTCTTATAAATGCATGCATACACATACACATCATATGCAACTGCACTGCCATAGTGAATTGTGTGTGACAATAGTGAGTTTTTCTTTGCTATTTTTTGTTTTTAATTTATCTTACTATCTTTACTAAGCCTCATGTACTGACCTCTTATTTTATAGTTCTCTTCTACTTTGAAGGGATGAGATTTCAACCTAGTGCTGCAGAAAACTTGCCATGATGCTTTATGTGTGTTGTTTGGCTTTCATATTACTTTTTGGGTTCGGTTGGCATATAGGTTAAGATTAAGACTGTAAACCATATGTGTAATACAATGTTTCTGCAAGATGAATAGATGATTTGAGATGCCAAACTTCTGTCGAGGTGGCAGAAGTAAATGCTTACATCGGTGCAGAATTATATCCACTGTAAACATACCACAGCCCTCCTTTACTTGGGATTGCAAGTGGCTAAGTTAGCAAACTTAGGTGCAGTTAAACAGAGCTGAATGGAGACATAGAAATTTATAAATTCAACCTCAACTAGATTGAGTTAAGACTTAGTCTGCATCAGGTTGGGTAAGTTTATTCAAAACTATGGTTTGGCATGAAAAAAGGTGCATTTTAGGCTTAATGGAAAGTACTTCCAGTTGAATGCTGGAAAGCTGTATCTTTGTGTTCACTCCTCTTATTATCTGTGTGTGATAAGTGAATAATGGGTGCCCATTAATAATGAATTAGTTATTTGAATACTTTGTAATGAGTTAATTATGTCCTCTTTACTGGATATTTCTTTAATTTTTTAAGCCAGAAGTTCATTTCAAATATTGTGTATTGGGAGAGAGGAGAGTAGAAGTATGGAGTTGGCTTAGCATGTTCTTGCTATTAGTAGACTAGATTTTTACAATGTATTTCTGTTGGCTACTCAGCAATAGCTTATTCATTGTTTAATGCTACTGTTTGCTGCACTTTTGGTTGCATCATGCTTTCATCTTGTTTATTCTTGTTTCCCTTGAAACTAACATTGATAAATTTCCAGTGACAGAGCAATTCCTTCTTCAAATCTTGATTTGCATATTGCTCACTGCTCGCGGAATCTAGAAAAATGTAAAATTTGTGGCGACATGGTTCCTAAGATACATGCAGAACACCATTTCTTAAGCACTCATGCTCCAGTAAGTGAAACCCATTTCCTACTTTGAAATGCAGCATGCTTAGCCTTTAGGTAATAATGGATTCTCAATTATTGGTTGGGGGGGGGGGGTGGGGTCAATATAGAATATTTAGCCCCTTAATTAGGAGAGAGCATTGTATTTTCTTGTCTTAATTTATTTGTTGTGCATGTATCAGTAATTCTTCTGGTGTTTGCCTGTGTTCCCATATTGTGAATTGCCTTATTCCAGTTACTTAAACAATTATTGATGTCAAAACATTCATTTATTAGTTATTACATCAATCTGTGAGGATCTGTAGTTGGCATGTCCTTGTATGGAAACCTTACCTGTTTACTCATACTGTCAGTTAGTGACTTAGTGCCTTGGTTGTGGTTCATGATGTTATTATGGGTCCTCAAGTGACCATGCAGCTGCAGCCATCCTACCTGCCACTCTAGTTATTAGTTAATACAAGCCATTCAGCTCATTTAGTCTTGTGGAGGGATTATGAATAGCCACTTATTGGACCCTAGGCCTTTCCCAGCTCTGGAATGTGGATAGCTACCCCTTTAAAACTTAATGGATAAAGTAACGCAGTAGGTAGTATGGACTATTTTATTATGATTTCAAACTTATCAACAAATTGGATCACATGTGATATACTAAATGAATTGTTTTCTAGTTAGATCTGGTGTAAGGATCTTTCACTATGCAAGGTTTAGGGAAGATAAGAAGTAAGTGATTGTAGAGGTTATTTCTAGGGCTTGAACCGGTGATCTAGCGTCAGCCAGTGAGCACTTCACATAAATCACTGATATTTTTGTGGTCTTTTGAGATTGTTAAAATTGTAATAAATTTCTGACTAGTGAGAGTGGAGGCACTTTTATCCTTGAATTTTGTGCCTAATTCTGTCCTTTTTTTAAAAAAATGAAAAAGAAAGAAGAGACATAGCTGCCATTCAAATTGCTATATCCTGTTTTTTGCGGCTTTAGGAATTAGAGGTATCCATAAATTATAATCAGCATAATTCTCTAAAAAAAGAGTTTGGTGCCCTTTGTCAATGTAAAAAAACTAAAGTCCTTTCAGGTGTTATGAAGCATGCAGTAGGCATTAGATACAGTCACCTATTAGAACTCTGGGCTCTGGTTGCAGTATTTGAAGTATGATAATCTACATCATGAATGGTGTATGCAGGTTCTAAGTTCATGTTTATTTTCTAGGTGAACAAAATGGAAGGAGCTTTAAGTCTAGACTGAAGGGCATTCTATTTGTTATTCATTTAATTGTGAAGACCGAAACTTTTGCTGAGGCATCTGTTTTAGGATAGTTTGTAGTTTTAACCAACATCTGAGTTGTATTAAAATGGAAACATCTGTGTGTGTGTATGTATGTTATTTTAAACAATATATTTGTAGCTTTTCAAATATCTGAATTCCCATAGCATACACCAGGGCACAATAGGTTGTTATCCTCTGCATATCAGCATATCTAAATTCATTCCCTTTGGATTTCTTAGATTTACTTGACACAACTATTGATTAAAATCTTACAGATTTTAAAATATGGAAGCAAGTTTCTTGGGGCCTTAATATTATTCTTGATTGTAAATGGTTGGTAACTGTAATTCTGGCCTCATATGGCTGTTTTATTATACTCTAAAATGATTAGTGGCAAAAGTCTCCACCAGGATTAATGAACATTAACTTGATGCCGCCAACATGGGGTTAGGTTTGTAAATGTTTTTATTATAAATGCTTTATTGATGGAAAAAATTGCCCATTCGATCCTTTTTAACCTGTCATGTACTCATGTTTTCAGTTCTGATATTTATATTGATGCAGGTGTCCTGCTCTTTGTGCAGCGAGACAATGGAACGTGAAGTGTTAGCTGTTCACAAGGGTGAAAATTGCCCACAAAGGATCGTTACATGTGAATACTGCGAGTTCCCTTTGCCTGCAGTCGATTTGTTTGAGCATCAGGTAAAATAGTTGCTACTGACTGCAATATTGCATCCAGTTTTAAACAGAGTTAATTCGTCATCAATGTTTCAGGAAGTATGTGGGAACCGTACAGAACTATGCGAACTCTGTAGCAGGTACATTAGACTCCGAGAAAGGGATGTCCACGAGAGCAGATGCAATGGAATAACAGATAATGTTGCAGAAACTTCCCGGTAAAACATTCTCTACTCTAATAGTTCTTTCACCAACCTCTTAGAAAGTGCACAGATCTTATTATTGCAACTCATGGCAATGTTCAATGAGAAAGGAAAGTCCAATAACATTTTACATTCACTAAGCTGGTTTGGAAACCCCAAGTGCAATGAAGCATCTTTGATTTTTGAACAACAAGATGGGTCATAATGGTGTCAACTTTAGCCCTTAATGGTTTAATATTAATTCACTGAACCTATATTTGGGAAACTGGATTTATGCATTTATTTGTAGTTTACATGGATAGTAACTCAGATAGTTTTGGCCAACTTTAAGAAAAAATAACAAAACAAAACAAAAACCATCATAGCTTTGCAGTTTGCACTGATGCTCTAGTGTTATCTGTTTAGGAATGCAAGGGAAGCTGAACAAGATCGCGGTGCTCCAAGATGCCCCAATGAATTTTCCAAGAAGCGACTGCTGTTTACCATTGCAATAACCGGGATTGCCGTTTTGTTAGGGTCACTTTTTTACCCAAAGAAAGCTGAGCACGTTCAAGTACATTAGCAGTATGGATGAGTTAATTTGGCAGTGCTGCCATCTTAGAATTTACCGTGCTACATTGTTGGATGTTTCATGTTTGTACAAGCCAATGTTAAACATTTTCATTTATGAGTTGTTGGACAGAATTGGTGCAAAATTGGAGGTGTTGACGTAATAAACTGCTATTCATAAGTAGATTATGCACTGCTCTTAATTCTTTCGCAAGCTGCTCTAAGGCTGTGTTTGAAAACCCGAAAAATGATCTCTGGAAATCATTTTCCGGGTTTTTGGTGTTTGGCTACACTTGGAAAATCCAGTCAACGGAAAACATTTTCTGTTGACTGGGAAAAATGTGCTCAATTTGGTAGAAAATGACTTCCGCCAAATTTGGGCGGAAGTCACTTTCCTCCCTTTGCTATTTTTTTTTTTTTTTAAGTTTCTGGCGGAACTGGTTTCCGCCAGAAATTATGGCCTTGGGTTCCGCCGGAAACTATTTTTTTTTTTTTTTTTGTTTAAAACATTTAAAATTTATTTTTTATTCTAAATAAAATAATTAAAAAAAATATTTAATTATACCATTTTACTCATTTTTCAGAAAATGAACCAAAAACACCAAAATAGTTTTTCGAATGCAATCAAACACTAAATAAGAAAAATATTTTTTAGAAAATGATTCATTTTCCAGAAATCATTTTCTTGCTTTCTAAATGGATCCTAAATTACCGTGAATAATGCTTGGAAGAATCATTTACTATTGTATGAAACTCATTTTATGATTATTAATTAACACCCTTTTATTTAGTTTATTACTAAGGTATCTTATAGCATCTTCGTTTTTTTTTTTTAATTAATAAAGCTTTTATTAGAATCCAACATTCCATGGTAACATCCACTATTTAATTCATCTTTTAAAACTCATAAAAACAAAGCAACAGTCATATTATTATACCTTGATTTATGTCCTTGCCGCAATAACTTATGCTATATCTTTTTCTATTATTATTACCATGCAAATGAATACACTATATCTTTTCTTATATATTCTTCAATGGTAATAAGTTTTATTTCATTCAACTTTTAATTAAATATTACTATAATTATATTTACATATCTAAAAAATTTTATTTAATAAATATTAAAATATAATTGACTTTATCAACTATGAATTCTACAATTATAAATTTTAAAATAAAATTATACTATAATTTTTTAAAAAATATATATTTTTTAATATAATTAAAATTTTAACATTAGTATTAATATTGACGCGACATATTTTTACGCATCACGCATATAAAATACTAGTTTTTATAATAAATTCAAATAGCTTGAGCTCAATAAAGCTCGAATTTCAATTTCTTAAAAATAAAGCCGAGTTTCAAGTTTTGACTATTCTCGACTCAATTACACACCTAAGCAAGCCCATTACAGGGTAAAATTATTATCATCAACTTCATACAAATCAGTAAACAGATACACCACCCTCCCCCTCTCTCTCAAACACTTGATAAACTGGTCTTTTACCTTGCAAGTAGCAAAATTCTCACATTCTTTCTCATGTTGCACTTTCTTTAGATTGGATGTCTACTCCAATGAATGATGAGATTCAACCTGAAACAGGGGAAAAAGAATGCACTACTCTAATCAAACACCAAGTAAGTCTAGCTGGGTAATATAATTACCAGAGAAAATGGTCAAATAGGCTCGTGAACTTTAAAAAATTGCAATTAAACACTCTACCTTGTCATTTTGGTGCATAGGAGCCTAATAGCAAGTTATCCACCTGGAATAACCGGTCATTAGGATTCTGGGGACCGGTCGTTGGTCACCTTTGTCACTAAAGAAGGCGACTGGTGGTAGGCAAATGGTTGCCAGTCGCCTTGAAAAAGAAAAAGGCAACCAGCCGGTCGCCTTCTTAGTCAATCGGAGGAAGGCGACCATTGGCCACCTTTTTCGGTGAACGACGGCGACCTTGTTATCAATGGCGGTTATCACAGGTTATAGGTTACCGGAAAACAAGGCTTATTTTACCGGTTTTAATAAGTTGGAGTGTTTAATTATAACTTTTTTAAAGTTCAGGGCCTAATTGCTTTGTCGTATAAAGTTCAGGAGCTTATTTGACTCTTTTCCCTTATTAAAGTTTGTAAATTTCAACAGAATATCTATCTCATAGATGGCACAATACAGAAACAATTTGAAAGACTCAAACTTTACCTCACAAGTGAGCACACAGCCGCTTTGATATCTGGTAAAAACGGCCAGTTTAAAGCGGGACCAAGTTCAAGCGCCAAGTAAAGTTCTATTCTCGTTAATTGCGTCCCTTGCTTGTCACTTCTGTAGAGATAGATTGTCAAATTTATCAGCAGAGTAATGAAACGGGAAAGCTCAAAAAGGTTAAATTCACCTCAAGTCAATTGCTGCTGCTGATGTTTAGGCAAAACGTGGCCACGTTCCACTAAAAGCATCATAAGCTTGTTTGCCTCGTGTGATTTCCCATCTAACGTCAACTTCTCCTTCACTATTTCACACAGCTTTAAATCGGGAACCAGATTCCGACTGAGCATTCGACAGACAACCTTAAACGAGAGCAAAGGGTTTCCGTTTTTCAGATAACTCTCGATAAGAATGTGGCCACGTTCCACTAAAAGCATCATAAGCTTGTCTGCCTCGCATGCTTTCCCGTCTAACATCAACTTCTCGTTCACTATTTCACACAGCTTTAAGTCGGGAACCAGATTCCGCTTGACCATTCGACAGGCAACCCTATACGAGAGCAAAGGGTTTCCTTTTCTCAAATAACTCTCGATAAGAACGTGGCAGGTATTGGCATCGGTTCTTGAAGCAGTCCGGAGAATTTTGCCCAGAAGCTTATAAGCCTCGTCGGGATTTCCGAAACTGCACAGCTTTTCGATGACTTGGTTGTACACAGTCCGGCACTCTTGTCTCGACAACATCTTCTCTAACAACTTCAATAGATCCTCGACCCGACCCTGCCGACAAAAATGATGGATTATTGTACGATATGTCACTTGAGTAGGAACCAAACCCTCGTGGAGCAGTTTCTTGGTCATTTCGATTGCCTCTTCAATCCTACCGTTCTTCCCTAATGCACCTATTAGTGTCGTATACGTGACAACGTCCGGATGTTTGTTAATCAAATACATGTCATCGAGAACGGAAAGAGCAGAACCCAAATCGTTTTTTAAACAGAAACCGTGAATTACAGTAGTAAAGTTTACGACATTAATGGCACACCCTTTTCTCAGACACTCTTCCAGAAACTTCTTTGCCTCGACCGTTCTCTCCTCCCTACAAAGATCTTGAATAAGTCGGTTAATTTCGACTGGAGAAGGGAAAAACCCCTTTCCAATCATTTCCCTGACTATATTACACGCCTCCAGGAGCTTTCCTTCCCTACGAAAGCCATGCATCACAACACAATACGTCACAGCATTCGGCCTCCACCACCCATCCTCACTCATATTCATCGTCTCTCTTGCTTCCGAAGATCTCCCCGTTCGACAAAGCCCATTCAAAAGGGCCGTGTATGATACCGTGTTTGGCTTGCAACCCTGTTTGTACATCTGCTGGAGTAGCTTTTTCCCTTGATCGACCTCTCCTATCGAGCAAAATCCATCCACGACAGCAGTGTAAGTCACCACATCGGGAACACATCCATTGGCAATCATTTCATTAACGAGCTCTTTCGCCCTATCCATCCTCCCCGCCTTACAGAACGAGTTTATTACTGTACTGTATCCAACTTTGTCAATACCGAACCCTCGGGCTTCCCCTTCCCTTAAAAAGATTAACGCTTCATCTGGGTGGCCATGCTTCGAGAGCATATGTACAAGAGTATTATAAGTAACCTGATCAGGGTACAAATCATTATCTTTCGTCATCTTCTCCATTAACTCTTTTACTTCATCCACTCTTTTCTCCTTACACAAAAATCCCATTACTGTGTAGTAACTCACTTTGTCCGGGGGACAACCTTTATATGGCATCTGTGCAATAAGCTCGAGTGCATCTTCGACTCGATGGACATCACAGTACCCCTTGATTAAGCAATTATACGAGACAACATCGGGTGTAATTCCAACTACTTGCATACGTTCCAAAAACCTCAACGCCTTCTCCAACTTATTCCCCTTCACCAAAACATAAATTGCAGTATTACATATTCCCAAATCTAGCCCAACTCCCGCTTTCTGCATCAAAGTAAGAACCTGCAATGCTTTCCTCGTATTTCCAGCACGACTAAAAGAAACCATCAGAAAACCAAAAGCTTCGGGCTGGAGTTCGATTCTTCTCCGTGCCATGAGGCGGAGAACACGTTTAGCTCCTTGGCACAACTTAGTCTTGCTTAGAACTCGAAGCATCTCATAATACACAACCGGATCATGCCTATACCTCCATTGCCAGTCCGCCCAATAAAAGAACATTAAGGCGACCCTTTCATCAGATTGAGACCTTAATACCGCACAAACTTGCAGAGGTTTCAAGCTTTTTAGTAAGTGCCTTAGTTCCCCCTCGAGCTTTGGAGTCCACGATGCTCTCAAATCAATTAACCTACATATTTCTTTTACCAAAGGGTGTCTCATTTCATCCTCCACCCACTCAGTTTTCACTTTACACCAATTACTTCGCTTTTGATTCCGATCAAATGAATCCAAAATTTTAAAATCCTCACCATTGTCATCACCATCACTCTCCCCTCCATCTTCCTTTCCCGACTCTTCACACTCATCCAAATCATCAAATTTACAGCTTTCCCTATCCTCTCTATCACTATAACATGTGTCTGAAAAGCTTAAGCTCCCATACTCTCTACACCCCACTTCTTCACTTGCAACATCCATATTTCTAATATCACCAAAATGTGAACTTTCTGCATATTTCCCACAAGAACCTTCCAAATATGGTCTGGACTTGAAGGTTTGGGATGAGAAAAATGCAAATGATACATTATAAACAAGAGGGTATTGGGAAAAACGAAACCTTGATTCGCATTTTGTGGTTATACTAGAAAACTGTACATAATGATGAATATATGAATGAAACCTCGAGTTTTGGGGCTTGAAGAACATCTCAGTAGGTTCGACTGAATTGATAGTTTAGCATATTCCTGTTTCCCAAATTTAAAAAATAAAAAATCAAAAAATTGCAAGTTTCCGGGAGCTTACGATTCAGTTACGATCGAAAAAGATGGTTGCCGGATAAGGATTTCAATCGTAGAAAAGCTTGCAAGGGTTCGTGGGCTATCTGATGAGCGACCCCTACCCGCCGAATAAAAATCACCTCGATTTCGTGCCTCCTTTGACTAAACTTTTCAAAGACGTTTTCTTGACTATAGAAGAAAACGAATAGATTCTGAGGAGCTTATGCGGAGAGGATGCCATAATAGAGTATTTGCCATTTGCGAGCTTCAGAAGAGAAGAGAAGAGAAGAGTGCCCTGGGCTTAGTCACATTGGTTCGTAGTCTAAACTTTGTCACAGTGGTTCACACTTCATTGTAAAATGGTCAATATTTATATTTTTAAAAATAACTAATAAAATTTTACTAATTAAAACATATATGAAATTAAATTTATTTATTATATTAATTCAATATATAATGTTTACACGAAAACAACGTTTTTGTCTCTCAATTATTTTACTTTTAAAAATTTAACTCATATCAATTGATTTTAACACACTTAATATGCTACTCATACGATACATGAAATGAATATTAGGCAATTTTATAATATACTATACAAATTAATGTGCATGTTCACCATAAGATAATTTCTTGTTTGCAGTCAATTGCTTTAGCACATTATGTATAATTTTATATATGATTTTATTTTCTAATTGAAATGATTTATAAAAATGTTTTTTTATAACTCATTTCAATTAGAAAATAAAATCTTTACGTAATGTTTTTAAATTTCATATCATGTAGGCCATAGTGAACCATTTGTTTAGCAAATGTTTTCAAAACTTTAAACTACAAATATAATGTCTATATAATGACAAAAATAATTAAGACTTCACAAATTCATTGCACTTTCAGACACAGAAGGGATCTGAGAAGTCTTTAAGCCACAATTAAGACTTCAAAATTGATGCAATTCTTTGACCAATTTTTTTTTTTTTTAAATAACAAAATCTTAAGTATCTATGTCTATAAATAAGGTAATCACTAAATAGTTGGCATATATATAATCCAAAGAAGCACATACACGTACATACCTTCTTTTGTATTACAAAGTGGTATCAGAGCTTAAATTGTGAAATCTTGGACATAAGAGAAACATAATTGAATCTTTGAAGTCTATGTTTTTTTTTTTGAGTCAACTAGTCAATCTTATTTCTTAACCTTGCATTGGTGCTGCTCACCAGGGATGACATGCTTGAACAGATATACGTAAGTTTTGATTTACAATGAAACATTTTATAAGTGTCTAGGATAGGATAGTCTTATGCCCCCCACATTTCCTACTCAGCCCTAACTTTTGTCTTTGCCCTCGAGGTGTAGGCTTCAGGTGGGTTTTTTGGAATTCTTGAAATTTGTTCTTGTGTATACGCAGAACATCCAGACTTTCAAAATCTTTGTGGCAATGACTGCATTTGAATAGAATTGGCTTATCACTTTCACCCATTATAAGAGAGACGATAATCGATGACCATCCTGGGAGTGAGAACGGCGTCTGGTGGCTGTCGATTGCGATTCCCAAGCGGCTGATGATTGCCAATTGCGATGGAAGATCAACTTGGAAGGAGAGGGTCTTAGTTGCCGGTGAGAACGACGCCTGGTGGCTAACGATTGTGATTCCCCAGGTGGCTGACAATTTGATCTAAGGATTGAGAACGGCGGCTGACGGGAAGATGCTGATTGCCAATTGCGATGGAAGATCAACTTGGAAGGGGAGGGTCTCATACAACTGCGAAGCCTAGGTTACGTTACAAAATCTTGGGCATAGAAAATAAAATTGGTTACACTCTCATACAAAGTGGTTGGTATCATAGCAGTATGAACCTTAGGTATTAGGGTTTAGGGTTTAGGGGTTAGGCTTTAAGGTTTAGTCTTTAAAGTTTATGGTTTTTTAGCCCTGTAATAATAAAATCTTTATACTGTAATAATACCAAGAAGGTCCTATGTTTTTTTTCATGCCAAATGATGCTGAGAGTTGAATTTATGAATTCTAACACCAGAAGTTGCACTCTAAATGGGGTGTATATTCCTAGGTTAGCATGCCGCCTATACGGTGTATATTCCTAGGTTAGCATGCCGCCTATACCCCTCTGCATTTCAACTAAACATAAAAGAACCTAACATGTGAAAATGCTTTGTACTCCCTGATAATTGATCAGGAGGTATCTCTGGTGCTAGTCTTTGGTACATGATCAGAAATCTCTAGTGTTGGTGCTTGATCAGATACTATATCTCTGATGCTACTGATGTTGTCTCTAATCCGTTGCATAATCACCACCAGTGCTCTCATTACATCTTTCAAAGCCATGTTTTTCTCCTGTTCCATCTTGATAATCTCTTTCGTTGTTTGCAAATCAATCATGAGATTTTTCTTTTGAGCCTTCGTTTTCTTGCGCTTGATAGGCACTAGGCTTAAAGAAACACAATGTGCAGTTCAGTGTTGCTCCAGACTTTCTATCAGCTTGCGCTTAGAAGCGATCATATCATAGCACCCGTAAATTCAATATCTTTATTCAGACGATGGATATTTCTCAGGAAACCTTCACGAGTAACACTCTCTGCCATAGTATCAGAGCACCATCATCAACACCGATCAATCATCAAGATCCAAAGTTTAGTACAACAGAACAATGCGAATTTAGGGTTTAGGGTCTAGGGTTAAGAGTTTAGTTTTTTTTTTTTAAAACATAAAAAATAAATTTTTAGCTATACCTACTACAATGTACATTTTCTTTTAACCATAATTCGGCGATAAATATCAGTTTTGACTTTATCAGAATTCACCGCCAAATATCAGTTTGGACATTGTATACAAATACGGATAATCCAAGACTCATCTGCGACTTTACCAGAGCTCGATTGAGGAATTATCGAGAGCTTAGTTTATGAAATCTTGGGTTAAATACGGGGGGTCCACTTTGTGTTACAAAGGAGTATCAAAACTTAGTTTGCGAAATCTTGGGCATAGAAAATATAATTGAATAGGCTCTGATATAGAGTGATATCAGAGCTTAGGTTGTGAAAATCTTGGGCATATGAATTAAAATTGGTTAGACTATGACACAAAGTGGTTTAAAAAGCTTAGATTGCGAAATCTTGGGCAATAGAAACAAAATTGCATAGGCTTTAATACAAAGTGGTATCAGAGCAGTTCTTAGTCAATCTGTTTCTATTGTTGTTGTAATTGATAGTTTAATTTGAAAAAATATAATTTCACATGTTTTACATATTTCAGCCACTATGCCTGGATTTGACATCACTAATGCTCACATGCGTGATTCATTTTGGTCTTCTCGAAGATCGAATCATGTTATTTTAGACCTGGAGGTTAATGAGATTGTCACGATTGGCTGAGGAGTTACGGATGTTTTTGTACAAAGCCCTCATGAACGTGATCTCATCACTATTTTTCACCACGTGAATGCAGGCATTGTAACACCCCGATTTTTGGGATAAAAATAAGGCAATTAAAGCTTAGGAATAAAGATAAATCTAATCATCAAATCGGAAATGTAAATATAAATCAAAATCCAAATACATGTGACAACGGGGCATACCCCTGATTATTACATAAAAAGCATAAATAATTACAGAGAAATCACACATACATCCCATGCACTTTATTCTCCACAGAAATGCACTGAAGGCGAAAAAACCATTACAAGCAGACTCGAACTCTAGCTAGATGTCCTAATGCACGCCCAAACTACCACTGCACCACACTCAATTTTCAGAACTAAAGCTCAACAAATTAAACATGATACCAGCAGCAAATTGTCTACAAACGGGTGGGTGAATTAATAAAAATTCTCCGCCATTAGAGAAAGTCAAACCCACGTCTTGCGACTCTCTATCCAACCTCTCATTCCATCTAGCCATTAAGTCCACCTTACAAAAATCATGTATCAGAAAATTCTTAACCCCTAATGACAAGAATCAGGTCAGCCCACCAACACGCGGGTCGACCCGGTCTCATCTCCATAATCCATGCACGTCCAGCGTGCACCTCCCAACTTCAGCGATAATCCAAAGTGCGATGTCTCCTCCATAATTAACGGAATCATAATCTACCAAACCGCGTACAGAGAATACAATCTCATAAATCACGCATGTCCAGATTCATCCCCCTTTCTATACCGAGGCCAGCGACAGTCAACCATCGGAATACCACCGCCAGCCACGGACGTCCACCGGAGAGCATCCAGAGCAAGTCACCGGAAAATCCATCTCATCAGTAAACACCTATCGGAAAGCTAGAACTGACGGCCAGAACCCCTCCCGATCCCATCCACCACCTCTGCGCTCACCCAAACATGGACAACAACTCACCAACATGGCCGGAAAAATCTATAACCATCGGATAGACACTGGATTCATCCAAAATCATCTCCAAAACAGTTAACCTCCAGTCACCATATTAGATCATCCACATACAGGGTCAAGCAAAAAGTGGCGACATCACCAGGCGTGAAACAGCCGCCGGAAAAGCCTCCTAATGCCATAAAACATAAACCTGAGAGTTACCTCACATGGAGCCCCATCGGAAAAGGACGTGGACCATCGGAGAAGAAATCTAATCATTGAAGTAGGAAAAGTTGCGGAAGCTAAACAGTTAACTGGGGAATGTTATGCACAGGCCAAAACATCTATCTAACTCAAACAGTACAAGTACTCAATGTCTAAACAGTCTGATAAGCACTATTTTTATATTTAATTTAGATTGATTCTTATAATAAATTAGTTTTATTTATTTAGTATTATATTTATTTTGAACTTTATTTTATATTTTGTAATAATATAATAATTATTTAAATAAATAAGCTTAAAAATTAATTTGGTTCATTAGGAAAAGACAAATTACATTTGTTATTTATAAGAGTTGGGCTCTTTATTTTTCCTATTTATTTTGACCCAATAAAAGTTAGTCCGTATTTGTTTATTTTATTGTAAAGCCTAACTTTAACTTTTGTCTCCTTTGATGCCTTTTCCCTAAATTAAATTGGCAGTTCAAAGTTAACTTTTTATGTAGAATTAAGCAGTGGGCCAGCGAGTGGAGACTTCATCTTCGAGCAATTCTCGTGTGACCGCAGCGACACGAACGGCTTCTGCGATTGCTATAAAGAAGACTTCATCCACGAACTGCTGCAACGTAACGTACTATTTGGTCGGCCACCGCGAAGATTTCATCTACGACAACTATGTGCGGGCAAATTCAATTGAAGCCAAGAGTGTATGGAGCTTACTCTGTTAATTATCTCTAGTTAGAAAAATAAATATTATTTA